GAATTCCCTCCTTCCGTCCTTCTATTCATCCATCCCTCCCTCCCTCCTTCCATTCATCCATCCATCCATTCATCCAATTATTACAATATTTAAAGATTTGTCATTTTGTCTTTATCTTTTAACTTTATCTTTCAGTGTCATGTGTCTCCAGCAAAGAAGCCTCGCACAATGCCAAAGTCAGAATTTGCCACATCCATGTCCTGTTAGGTAAATCTGAATTATACCTTAGAAGGCACAACTGTTACTGAACTCTGATTGGCTACTTGCTTACGAAGAAAAAATTACTACCCCATGTAAACCACATTTTGCTATGTTTCAGGGCTTAAAATAACAGCAAGTAATCTGACAATGTCTGGTCAGAACTGGAACCTGTCCTGTCAAATTTTTGTCTTGCCTGTCATTTTGATCAGTAAGGTTGAGTCAGAAACAAGGTATGACTGAGCTAAAACAGATTTGGCCAGTGAGCATAAGCAACAACTGACCAAACATTATTTTAAGCCCTGTTTTTTGGTCAGGAATTGTGTCTGCTGGTAAAAACCAGTGATAGTTCCTTCTAAAATGATGCTTAGTAATTCTAGAATTTTTCAAATAGTCCTCATCACTTGGCAACTTGATCAAGGATGAGTAGCTTTGAGAAACTAATCCTTTCAGTCTGTGTAGACCAAATGCAATAACATGACAAAAGTAACTTGTACAAATAACTTATTTTACACTTTAATTTGTAACCAATTCTGAAGTATATTATTATCTTAAAAGATTCATTCAAAGAGATTTAATATTAATAACCATAATTACATATTTGTAAAGTGTACAAAATGTATTTCTAAAAACAACAAGAGGTGATACCAATAATAGTATTCTGTAATAACTATATGGTAATGATGTATATTGAAATTCTGCTAAAAGTTTGATATCATTATGCAATCCCATTCCAAACAGTGAGCATGCACCAGTGCTAGTCTAACAATCTGATTGTTTTTATATGATCTTTAATTGTAAGGCACAACCTAGGTAGAGCAGTTTGTTTGCTTTAATTTCAAGTGATCATTAATTTGCAAAATAACATTTTTATGCTACTACTAGAAAGGTACTGCTAGAAGAGGTATTTTGCGAATTTCTTAGAAGTAAAGTTCCTGCAATTCTCATCAGTTTTTCATGGTATTAACCATTTAAACCATGCTTATATTTTATCATAATTTAGCATTCCACAAGCCTTTATGCTTGAGTACTATTTAGTCCATGTAAATAATTATATAATAGTGTATGATAACATAGTAACGTTCAAGCTACTAAATATGATCATGAAATATTTGAGTACGCTAAACTTTGAACAGTTTTCATTGAATTGAACAGTTCATTGAAACTTGAAGAAGATAGATTCACCTGTAGGTGACTTTCTTTAGAGAAAAGGATGCATGACTTTTTACTTCTTCTTCTTCTCTTTATGTGGTATCATTTGTTGATATTTAGCTGAATATATAAAATCACCACTGCTCTGTATTCTAAATCTGTATTCTAGACACGCTGCAATAGACCAGTTTTGAGTTCCAAATTTCTGCTGTCTTCCTTGATCACAGACTCATTTACACATGGTTAGCCTCGTATCAGTATCTAAATATTCACAAATACCAGCTGTAAAGTAATAAAGAATGCACAACTTCAACAATACAAACACTATGAAATTCATGGCCCTTTACTGGAACACATAAATATTCTGCACAAAAGCGAGGCTAACCCTTTGTATATGAGTTTGTAATCAAGGAACACAGCTCTTATTTGAAACTCGATGGTCTTTTTATCCAGCTTGCTTGGGCAGTGCAATTCAAAATTGATGACAAAACGAATCAATTTAAAAAAATCAAAGTCATAGAACTTCTTTGAAAAATTGATTATCCACATGAAGAGAGCATAAATAAGAGAGTGAAACTTCTAAATAACGCACTCTTTCTGTTAATTATTGTTTTGATCACTAAAAATGAAATGGAAAGAGAATGTGCACGCAAGTTGATGGCGCATATGAGTAGGGTAAGGTGAAATTTAAACTGCATCCGGTCACTAAAAATAGCCCATCCGGCAAATTTACATAGCACATGGGTTATTAAGAAGTTTCCCTCTCATTTATGCTCTCTTGTTATTCTCTGATAGGATTAAGACCTAGAGTTTTACTGCTTTCGGGCTCCCTGTGCTGTTGATGTTACCACAGGAAGCCCATAAGGAAAGTGTATCATAGATTTTAGGAAAAAAGCTGTTTGCTAAGTTAGCTTCAATACGGTGGTTTAATTTTAGTTGTTAGTGGTACCTGCTGATTGTGTGGTGATGCATGACCCCTGCCTTCGAGCTGCCTTACATGACCCCTTACATGCATGTGACGTCAAAGCAACTCAATTTGGAGGACAGAACAAAAGAATTTTAATCTCATTAGAATTGGAAACCTATTGGGATGTCCTCCAAATCAAGCTGCATTACGACATACTACAAGGGGTCTATATGTTCAAATTAAATATTTGATAGCTTTTAGACTGTGCAGACCTTAGATGTAAAATATAAATTCCAATATTGCAAGCATTTTGTTATCATTATTGACATTTATGATCAGATTCTTTTTAGAAAAGTCAAACAAAAAGAGCACAAACTTATCTTTTAAGAGTGTGGTAAAAGTGTGGTCAAGTTTAACACTTTATTTCATATGTAAGGAAATTATTTTCATCAACATGTGCCCCTCCCATGCTGCAGCCATGTTTTCTGAAACAGTAGATTTTTCTCCTTGTATAAGCCTCACTTTTAAAACTCCAGATTGAGTTTATGTAGGTTTATACAAGGGAGCACATTAAAATTTTGATTGTGTTGGTTTATCTTCGATTTTATCGCACATATTCTAAGATATAGCAGGCGTTCCTTGTAGTGATTGTTTGCGTGCGCGCGCGYTACACTTCATGGCAGGCGTTCCTTGCTTTAGTCGGGCTAGCGAATTTACTCCGAAAACCGACAAATATCTTGCTAGGAGATCGTAAGCCATTCGGATCGGCCGAAACCAAAACACTACGAGGAACGCCTGTCACAAGATGGATTGCGCGCGCTAGATAGATCAACCAAGATCAATGACTTTCCTTATACAAACAAAATTTCAATGTGCTCCCTTGGTTTATAAGGTTTTTATTCTCATAGCACAGAACATGGCTGCTGCAAGATTAAGGTCCATGTTTCTAAAATGAAAATGTAGGAACATTGAAATCTGTACCACACAGGTTGTTGGAAATCAACATTGTCACATGCACAGAATTGATTTTGCAATAACGTAAAAGGGTTTTTAATTGATAGATGTCAATCAAATGTTTCAATGACATTCCATAGGCCTGTGCCCTCAAAAACTTTGTTTTTTTCTAACAATGTCATGGAAACACTTTGATTGATGTCACTAACACCCTATTTCATCGAAATAGCAAATTATATGATATTTCTGTAAAAAAAAATAATATCAAGAAATTGTATTGTAAAATTTTACRTTTTTGTCTTCCTGCAATAATATTTTCATAAACATGCAAACTCTGTATCTGTGAGGTGCACACTGAAATTTGGTTTTTCGCTGCCTTCAATCAAAAATAATCAGTTGGTACCTTTCATATTTTTGACTGGCAGCAGCAAAAAAAAACAAATTTCAGCCTGCAGCTTGGAGACACAGTTTTCATGTTCACGGAAATTACAGTAATTGGTCCACTGTCTTTAAATCCATTGTGTGTAGTTCCAGAAAATATCCATACCCCACCCATGGTTGGAATTGGAAATTCTGGAAGGGAGGGGGGTCAGAGAAAGAACAATATTACAGATTTTCTAAAAAAGGAAATTGGAAACTCCTGGGGGTAGTGGGGAAGGGGCATTTTGCAAATTCCCTCTGTGGTAGGAATATGATYATTTTCTGGAACTACACAATATCAAAAGTGTACAGGTATCACCAAATGAAATCTTTAATAAAACTGGCTGTTTTACTGGAAGTTTTGGTTACGTTTTGAAAACAAAACTTAATATCTTTTGAAAAAAAGGGTTGGAAAAAGAAAGAAAGGAAAAAAGACTGATCACTGCCAGCATTGGGTGAAAAAAACCTTCAACTGTTATATTTAATTCACAGTCTTTAAAGGTCTTTAGCTGCAAGTAATAGGCTGCATGCTGAAACTATATTTTTTGTGCCGTCATGGGTAGATGTACATGTTTGACTGGGAACATAGAAAAGGCAACCAGGCAACTTGCGACTTTTGAGTTCCTGAATTCTAGTAATATTGAAAATCACTTCCTCTTTCTCCAATTAACACCCTACTTCTGTAATTCATTTTCCCCAAATTTTCATGGTAATCTTCCTAATAATTAACGTCAGATCATACCTTTGTGGTATTGTTAATCAGTCAAGGTAGGCAATTTATCTCYATGGACTCCATACATCAGTTCATTGGCCACACAAAGCAAAGGAAGAAAAATTGTCTGCAAGGTAGTTGCAAAGGATTATTCAATTTTTAACCTTGCAGCTAAATGCTTTGTGTCTGACCAGTGAACCGATGTATGGTGAATTTACAAACCACTTGTTCATTATATTTCTGGAAGTAATAAAGTACAACAACTATAGCCACTAATGCTTTTATTACAAATAATTTAAATAAGTCAGTAACACACACATAGTTTTTTTACAGTCTGGTTTAATTTATAAACAAAACAAAATGTCTGTTCTGCAGCTAGGAACCCTCCC